TACCCCTCCTCATTTTGGAGCAAGACGGAATGACTCCTGTCTCCCCAAAATGGCCAATAATGTCCGCCTTCTCACCTCATTTGGAGCAGCAGCTTGCTGAGTGTCAAAATGTTTAATACCATTTGGTTTTGTTTGGTGCTTTCAACCCGGTCACTTCACTTTCTTTCGTTTCCTTTTTCAATTGATTTCTTCTTTAAGGTATAAGATGCGTTTCTCTTTGAGTTGGTTTAATGTGAATCGGGGTTTGAAGTGACAGGTTCTTGTCCAGGATATTCTCCTTTCCCCCACCTCGCTCCTCCTCTGATATTTTTTGCTCTCTGAGGGAATCTGGAAGGGGCTTTAAAAGAGCAGCTGGTGGGGTTCCTCAGCACGAACTGCTTGGTCCTCAGGTTTCTCTCATTAGCAGCATCATGGGAACACGTTTTATGGATGGATTCTGGTGTTGCAAAAGTCAACCCTGGATCACCCCGTGTCTCTTCCAATCAGGTCTGTAAATCTTTGCAAAAACACCTCTCACCTTGTGGACCCCGAGTGGTGATGGGGAACCTGAGCCGTGCTGATTGGGACCAAAAAAAAAAAAAAAAAGCCAAAAATGCCACTCACAGAACACAAACTGGGTCAACCTCTGCCTCTCTGAGCAGCAACAAAACCAATTGGCTTCCCCAGGGTGTGAAGAGTTATGGATCTGTTCTGTTTCTAAAAAAAAGAGCACAATTTGGGGTGCAGATTTGCAGTGTGCAACGCTTATCCAACCATTCAACAGACTCATAACTAACTGCACTTCAGAAATTTTCCTGTGCCTCCCAAACGGCTTCTCTGCATTGAAATAATTTGAATTGCATCCCAAACATCCAGCATCCAATCTCGGAATCTGGTTCTGTCCGTAACAAGCTGTATCCTTGTTTGAAAAAAAAAAAAAAAAAAAAAAAAAAAAAAAAAAAAGCTCCTGAGAGTTTTTTGGCCGTGGACAATGTCTGTTTGTGTGTGCCTGCCTGTGTGTGTCTGTCGGGAGCTGCTGCACATGGAGCATGCACGTCCGTGTAAGCATGCGGGGTCTGCCAAAACTCTCCTGGAAATCAAACACCCCCGGAGCTCAGGGAAGGTCCTTCTGGTACCAGAAAATGGGAGAAGTGTTATTAGATAAGTGGCCATAAAGCAGAGCCCTGAGTGCCCCATCCCAGTGTTTCCTTTCCAGAGAGGGCAGTTCTGTTCTTCCCCATCCTTTGAAAGGGTTGGAGAGAAAAATGGAAGGAATCTCTTCACCCGACTTTTTTTTTTCTTGTAAAATGCCCCAGAGCTGAAATTGGTCTTGATTCCATCTCTAACTTCCTGTCCACCACGGCTCTCTTCCTCCTGGGCCTTGACCTAAAGACTGACCCAGAGATTCTCAGCTTGACAAATTCCCTGTCTCCAGCCAAATGCAAATGTTGTAGCAATTAAAATAAACAGCAGCCTGATGGCTCTGGGTAGCCAGAGATGAACCCTGTGCTTGTCACAGCCCTGAGCCATTGCAGGGCTGTGTCCAGGGAACTCTCTGAGGTCCCCAACATTTAATTGGAGCTCTTTTCCCATCCCAGATCAGTGTGTGGATGTTGGTATATCTGTGCACACAGGAGAGTCCAGGTTTTTTTTTAAACCAGGATGCACCAAGGAAGTGCTGCTGCCTGTTTTGGGCTCTGTCAGCCCTAATCCAAATTCTGCCTCTCTGTGGAACGGGCAGTGCTGAGGGCTGGCACCCAGGGGTGCTGGGTGCTTCCCTTGGAGGGTGACAAATGCCCAAGTAAGGATCCCTGTGCCCCCAGGGCTGACCTGCACCCCTGGCAGCTGTCGGGAGGAGGGCAGGGCTGCTCTGCAGCGTTTTGGGAACTCAGCCCCTGAGTTGTGTTTTGTGAGTGGATTTCTCCTTCCCTGCCCAAAGCCACAGCCAGGAACAGTCGGTTCCCTTCAGACTCCGATTCTCAGCACTCCGCCCTACATCAGATGATGCTTTTCAGTTATTAAATTCTGGTTTGTTCTTTCTTTTCTTTCCTTTTCTTTGGTTTTTTTTTTTTTGTTTTGTTTTGTTGGGTTTTTTTCCCTTTCTCTTTCAGTTGGGTTTCATTTCTTTGCGATTAGCTTCGGTTTGGATTAATTGTCTTGTTCTGTTCCCATGACAACTCAGTGTTTGCATCCCACCTGCCGTTGTTTGTTGCTGTTGATGCTGTTTGCTGACCGGACCTTTCCGGACGTGTCTCCCCATTCCTCCTCACCTTTCCCACCTTGCCTCCCCTCTCCAGAAGGTCACATGCCAGCCCCCCCTCAGAAGAGTCATCCCCACCCCAGATCTGTCTGCATGTTGACCCCACTTGTTTCTTTCCGAGTTCTCTCCATCTTGTCTCAGACTGTGACAGGTGTGGTTTCCACCTGGCTCCATTTTTTGAAGTGTGGTACCTCTGGAAGCAGGATGGAGCAGGAACCAGGGATGTTCCCTCTGGCTAGGGCTGAGTGTTCTCCCAGTGGCAGGAGGGAGCAAGGAGCACTTGTGTGATCCTTTGAGCCAGTGCCGGTGCCTGAGGTGGAACAAACACCGTGCTACCCCCTACACCTTTCTGCAGGTAGTGCCAGTGGCCAGGTGAGTTGGCAGCCCCTCCCTCCACATCCCCATCCTTCTCCCAGCTCAGGGCATGCCCCCGTTCTCTGCAAATCCGTGCATGCAGGAATTCCCCTGGGCCACCTCCGAGCTCCCAATGCCACCAGCCTGGAAGTTTTCTCTCCCTTGCCTCCCAGTGCTGGCTCGTGGCTACTGGTTCCCACAGGAAAGGGTCTGGCAGCCCGATGGGGAGGCCAGGCCGTGCTGTGACAATGTCCCTTGTCACCTTGCAGGACAATGCAGGGGCTGCAGTTGGCTTTTGTTTGCCAAAGCCCCGTGAAACAGCAAACAGCCTCCACCTCTCCAGGCAGTGCCCTTCCCCTTGGAAAAGATCCACAAAGCTGGAAGATAAATTCTAGCAAGGCCCAAGACAGTTCCAGGGGACACTGAAGGCACGTGGAGGGACAATGGCAGGCTCAGCTCTGCTGCCCTTTGCTTTGCTTTGGCATGAGGCAGGGCCAGCCGGCTTTGCAGAGGTTGTGCAGAGGTTCCCTGGGAGCAGACAGCAGGGCCAGGGAGCTCCCAGCACTCCAGATCCCCCCCTGCCCCTCGCCCACCCTGCCTGCAGCAGTTCCTGCATGGCTGTCCCTGAAGCTGCAGGAATCCTGCACTCCTGCTCCCCTGCAGCTGCTGCTGTTCCTGCATTTTCCCCCAGTCCTGGACCCTTTTGTCTTTTTGTGGGATCAGACCCTGCCCTCAGCCCCTCCCTGGGCCCTCTCTGACCCACACACATTCTCCTTTGTCCCTTCCCCTGCTTTGCCCCGCTGAGGAAGGGCACCCACCATCCCTCCAGCCAGCCCAGGGAGCTCAGAAAATGGAGCCAAGGAAACCACAGCCTCCCCTTTGCGTCCATGTTCTTCCTGTGTAAGGTCTGGAAGCTGCATCCACCTCTCTGCTAAGGAGATGCACAGAACATGTCACTGTTTTCTCAACGTTAAAAGTTTCATTACCTTGTTTTTCTTATTAATTCTATTCTATTTATTATTCCGCCAGGGCTGAGATGTGACAATGTGAGCCACCACATTGAGTCACATCAGCTAGAAAAAGTATGCAGCATTAAAGTGGGTTTCCCCCTCCCCTCCCTCTCTCTCTCTCTCTCTCTCTCTTCTTTCTCCCTTCCCCTCTTGTTCTCCTTCTCCTGGTCTTCCTTCCTTTCTCTGTCGCTCACTTTCTATCCAGTATCCATGTGGGCATTTGCTGCCGCCCAGAAATTATATTTCTCTGCATTTTCCTCTCTCTTTCTCTCTTTCTCTCTCTCTCTCTCTTTTTTACCTATTTTGCATGATGTTTGTGACTCTGAGAGCTGCATCTATCGATGGAACCGTGTCAGATCTTAAAGAGGCTTCGTTAGGGTTTCTATACCCGAAAACCACAAAAATTTCATTAGAGTTTCTCATCTTTTCCACACTCTGTCTCGCTCCAGGGGGGCTGTGTTCCCCTGGACGCTTCTCACACGCAGACACCAACTAAATTCTGTCCCACCCCGGGGGCTCCCTCTCCTCCCTCGTTTATCCTTTCGCTTCTCAAGTGGAGCATCTGCAACGTGGGGATGTGACACTTCTCCCTCTGTTGAATTCTCTGGCTCCAACAAGGCAAAAAAAAAAAAAAAAACCTCGAGAAGTTTCCATCCCCACCCCAACCTTCTCCTGGCCCCCTCCCAACCCCACGTGTGCAGCAGCCCCGGGTGGGAGAGGGCCCCTCTCTCGAAAGAGAGAGAGAGAGAGAGGGGGCACCTGGACCACACCGGGGGTGGCCGGGGCTGTTCCTGGGGAGAAGGGACGGACCCAGAGCCCACTGGGGGAGGGAGGAGCAGGTTCTGGGCTGGAGTGGGGAGTTGGGGGCCCCAGAGGCCGCCCAGGAGAACTTTGGGGCGCTCGCCATGGCAGCTCTTGCCAGTAAAGATGAGAAATTGCTAATAAATTTTTGTGTATTTATCTGTGCTGTGATGGGTCTAATCTTGATCAATGGAACCCTGTTGCTATGAAATATCGCTTTTATGTCTATATTCTATATATTGTTTGTGAAGTACAAATTTATTTGGAGTTTATTTTTTTTTTTTGGTTTTTGGCTTTTGATTTTTTAGTTTCTTTGGTTATTTGTTTTGTTTTTAATGAAGGAAGAAAATAAACAGTGACAAACCCCGTCTATATTTAAATTACCTTTTACTCTTTTTTCTTTTTCTCCTTTCTTTTTCTTTCCTTTTTTTTTT